CACCTAGACACAACACCCACCCCCACCTGGACACAACACCCACCACCATCCATCTGGCAGCCGGTTCCTGAGCCGGGGCATCCACCGGAGGATGGAGTGCTCCAGCTGCAGGGCATCTCCTGCTGCTCCTCACCATCACACTCAGAAGAGGACAGCCCTTTCCCCCTGGCTGGACTCCAGCATCGAAGGAGTCAGGAAAGCCAGGAGCTGCTGTGGCCATGGTGGTGATTCCCTGCTCCGTGGCTTTCTTTCAGCTGATCCAGAAGGAGCTGGAGGACGAGGAGGAGGAGCGCAGCCCCAGCCAGGGCAGCCTGCGCTTCCGACACAAGCAGCCGGTGGAGCTGAAGGGTCCCGACGGCATCCACGTGGTGCACGGCAGCACGGGCACGCTGCTGGCCTCCGACCTCAACAGCCTGCCCGAGGACGACCAGAAGGTGCTGGGTCGCTCGCTGGAGACTCTGACCGCCGACTGCGGGGGCTACAGCGACCACAACGCCCGCACCGAGTCGGCCAAGTCCACCCCCCTGCACAAGATGCGGGAGGTGATCATGGAGAGCCCTCTGGAGATCACCGAGTTATGACGAGCGGCGGGGCCGCTGCTGCTCCTCTAGGCAGGCCGGGGCCGGCGGGGATGAAGCACAGACCGGGGGGGCCGCGGTGGGGGCCAGGGGCAGCCCGAGACCAGGGTGCTCGGCCCCCTCTTCCCCTGCAGGAGTCCGGGCTGCCCGGTGCGCATCGCTCCGGCAGCCTCGGAGAGCTTGGCCCCGGGAGAGGGCTCTCAGGACCGGAATGCTTTTACTCGCCTGTCATTTATCCATGAAACCATTAAATTTTTTTTATTTTTCTTATTAAAAAAAAATAAAAGTTTTTTTTTTCTTAAAAAAAAAGGAGAAAAAAAAAAAAAGAAAAAAAAAAAGAAAAAAAGAAAAGCTAAATGAGTCTGATGAGTCCAGACTGGACAGGGCAGGGGCAGGGGAAGGTGCAGTGAGGATGAGGATGATGTGCTGCCACAGCATCCCCAGGCACAGGCTGGGGACAAGTGGCTGTCACACCTCGACCACGAGCATGGGGAGGGCCAGGGGAGCATGGGACAGAGACCGAGTCCTTTCGGCATTAACGTCACTTTTCCAAGACCCAAAAAATTAAAAAGAAAAAAAAACCCCAACCCAAAGACATTCCTCCATTTCGCTGGCTTTACCAAAACTTTTTGCTATGTCAAAAAAGAGAGAGAGTAACTGGGGCTTCTGGATGTGGAGTGCTCGTGCGTGTCTTTTGTTGCCCTTTTCTTTCCCCTTCTCTCTTGCATTTGGGTTTGTCTGTTCGGGGGCTTTGTTTCCAGTCGTAACCTTGTGGAGAGTTTCGGGCACGGTCTGTTACGGGACTCAGAAATACACTGTCTATGGCTTTGGGTAACCTGTCTGTCGTCCTTCCTCCCCACATCCACCCAGCCCAAACCCCCTTTGGAAGAGGAGACCCTCTTTTAATGCACCCCTCATCACGAGACGCCACCCTGGGTGTTGCTGCACCTCGGGTTTTGGGGGATGCACTCAGAGTTCTCTGGGTTTAGCCACGCTCCCACTGCAGCCCCCAGCCCAAGGAGGAAGGACACAAGCAGCCAGGCTCACGGGAAGAGTTTATTTGTGATGGGAGGCTCCCAGGCACGCTCAGGGCCAGGCATCCCCCCGATACGGTGGGGAGGGACGAGCCGGCCCCCCGCTGCCCTCCACTGGGTCAGCACAGGATTCCCAGCAGGGACGGGGCTGGAAAGGGAATCCTTGCACCCAAACTCATTCGTTTTATGTTCAGGTGAGGCTGCTGCCAGCCAGGAACTCGAGCCTGGTGTTTGGGCAGCAGAACCCAGCCCAGCCCACGGGGACAGATCCACGTTGAGGGATCTGGGCCTTACGAGTGGTTCAGGGTGGGATGGAGAGGTAGAGAAGGGACTGGGGATGGAGACAGAGGTGGGAACAGAGATTGGGGATGTTGCAATCACCCTGAGAGACGTCAAGGCTGAATCCCTAGTCCTGAAAACATTAACGAGTCCCTTAACCTGTTTTGGAAATCCAAGCCCCAGGAGTGGAAGAGGAAGCGGCCGAGGCCACCGGGGTTCCCCACAGCCCCGATGGGGCCGGTTGGCTCCTGCCTTTGCCGTCTGTGAGTGCAGGCACGTCCCAAGGGAAGGGAGCCAGGATCCGAAACAAACGGCAGAGCAAGTCCAGCCAGCTGGGGAGATGGCTCCTAGTTCCACACGTGACGCCGGCAGTGTGCGACAGCCTGCGGGAGAGATGGGACAGGATGGAGCTGGGATGTGGGACAGGATGGAGCTGGGATGTGGGGCAGGATGGAGCTGGGACGTGGGGCAGGATGGAGCTGGGATATGGGGCATGATGGAACTGGGACGTGGGGCAGGATGGAGCTGGGACGTGGGGCAGGATGGAGCTGGGATGTGGAGCAGGATGGAGCTGGGACGTGGGGCAGGATGGAGCTGGGATGTGGAGCAGGATGGAGCAGAGATATGGGATAGGATGGAGCTGGGATATGGGGCAGGATGGAGCTGGGATGAGGGGTAGGATGGAGCTGGGATGAGGGGCAGGATGCAGCTGGGGTGCGGGGACCCCTGGGAGGGGACACAAGTGTCACTTACACTGCACTCGACCGCCGTGGCCATGTTCTTGCACCAGTACTGCGGGCCCCAGACACAGGGGGCCGAGCCCAGGAGATCCTCCTTGCCTGAGTCGCACGCTCTGATTTTCTGCGTCGCAAAGGAAAAGGGTGGGAGGGGGGAGGAAGAAAACTTCCACGAGGAGCCTCTGACCCCCCTGGCCCTCTCCCAGCCCGCAGTCTTGGGCCAAGGATGCCCATCTTGCTTGCTGAGGACACTTACAGTGCAGACGAAGGTGGGGTCCATCATCTGCACGAAGAGCCGCACGGCCGCCGGCTCGTACTGCAACACGAGCGCCTGGCACTGGCAGGGCGAGAGGCAGGGGTGAGGCCGGCGGG